ATTTCAATATTTATTCTTTTACTTTCTTCTTGCAGTACATAGAATCACCAGATATTGAGAAAGAAATGAAAAGACTACTAAGAATGGACAGCACAGCTATCAGAGTCCGTATCCTTTCATCCGATTTATACTATTTTTAGGAATTTTATCTATTGTTTGAATTGTGAGTAGCAGCAGTTATTTAATTAACATTTGAGGCTTGTCATCCTAAAACCAGCAAACTGTCACTAAATGAGTAATTAGCAAAGAATGTGTCAGTATTGTGTACTTTAGTACAGAGAAGCTGTAATACTTTTATTCATAACTTTAGTAATAGTGAGTCTATTCCAGTAAACGACCCATCATTTTAAAGATTACAATGTGGAGAATAAGAATATATTAACAAGTCAATATTTTTTTTTTTTGTGGTCATGGTGCTGGTTTTGTCATGTCATAACATACAGTCATATTAACTGTCAGTCATAATTTTAAAAAAATCCTTAATAATAATTTTTTTAAATCCTATTCTCAGATACTACGATCATACAAATTTCTCTCTTGTTCAGTTCTATATATATATTTTTTCTTTGTATTATTTTTTGGCTAGCTAGCTAGGTCCCCATACATGGTTACAATCCTTATCTTTTTTAAGGATGGGAAGTGTTGCCTGATAAAGATGGCAAAGAAGACACAAAAAGTGAATTACAAATAGGTATGTTGGTTTTGAATTCTATATTAGTAGGGACCTTAGAGAACAAGGAGTTACATATTATTGCTATTTATGTCTGTTATCAGTGGTGAATTCAAGGGAGGAGGGTCAAGCCAGCCTGTCCCCCCCCCCTCCCTCTAAATTTTGTACGGTTATAAAAAAAAAACGTGGAGAACAATAGAAAATTATAATCAAATATTAAATCAGAGAGTGTCATTTCCAGCAATCTAGAGGTAGCATAATGGTACAATTTGTTCTGTCAGCCCCAACCATGGTAGACATGAGATCGTATTGACCCTCTGTTTTTTAAAGTGCTCCCCTGGGCCCCCCTCTGTTTCAAATTCCTGAATCCACCACTTATGATATAACATCTTGCATTTTACCATCATCTTGCATTTTAACATCATTTTGCATTTTAACATCATCTTGCATTTTAACATAATCTTGCATTTTTAATGGCAAAATTGTCATATAAAACCTGATAGTGTGACCAGGACTTAACAAGATAATTTCTTTTCAGATGGCAACGACTGGAAACAGATCTTTGAAGAGGTTAGTAGCTCAGAGAATGAGGAAGGGGAAGAAGACGTCAACATCATGGAGGTTGGGGATTCCCAGCAAGGCATGGAGGAGTTCAAAGTACAAAATGTCACTGCTGCTCTCAAAGGATTAGAAGCGGCTGTAGATCAAGATAACACAATCACAGAAGACAGCATGCAGCATGAGAGTAAGTTCTCCCCCGCCCCCTTCCATCAGCCCCCACTCCAATTCTATACCCCTAGATACACCACTGGTGACATCACAACATGTGACACACCTTTGTTACTGAGAATATAAATATGTTATATGTCAATTTCTTGTTTTAGTCACTTTTAGTCCTTGAGCAGATTGCTTATAAAACAGTCTTAACGAGTAGTCTTAACTCCTCGAATAAAGCTGGCTTTATCACGGTTAGACTGCTTTGAGTATTGAAATTCAAACAAGCACTCACTGGAAAAGTAAAATTGAGGGCACAGTTACACATACGTCATACTTGTCTAATCTAATGACGTAAGGTAGTAGTGTGAAGCGCTTAGAGGCCTTGTTGCCATTAAGCGCTATATAAATCTAACATATTATTGTTATATCAAAATGAACGTAAATAAACGTAGATTGGTTTTTACAGAAGCTGAGCAACCACACAGATAGCAAACATTTAGTTTTATGTGCTCAATCAAATCAAGCTTTTCATCTAGGCCTATCTATCTATCTAGATTCTAGTCTATTTAACCGGAGACCTGTCTGCCATACTGTAGAGTTTTTTAATTGAGCAGATGATACCTCATAAACCAGCTCAAATTTGCGTAGAAAATTGCTAGGAAAATAGGAGCGCAGAAAGTAAATACATTTTTTATATATTAAGATTAGGTTAAAGCCTAATTTTTGGGAAAATATGCAAAATATTTTCCAAAATGCACAGACGGATTTCTAGGCTAGATTTTGCGCGGATTATATATTCCCCACGCAGGCCTTACTATACAGTCTGGCCTGTCTGTAGGCTTAGGACTTCACTTCTTGAATTGAAAAAAAAAAACCACATTGAATTACCGTAATTATCACCAAAATTATCTAACTAAAATCTGTGTTTTACAGTATGCAGCGGATAAACTTAAGCCTGGTTCTCACGAGAGCCCTAGTATCCAGATCGGGAGCTAACCGTTAGCGCTAACCCTTAGCACCTGCATGAGAACGCCCGATCGGTTAGCAGTATCCGGATACCGCTAACGGTTAGCAAGCGCTATCAGTTAGCAAGTTGAGCGCGTTTTTATCATCAACCAATCGTACGCGTTTACAATTTCCAGTTTCTTATTGGCCAGTGATTCGGTCATCATATTTTTGGTATCCGGATCGGGATTTTGTCATATAGACGCACAGCAGCTAACGGTTAGCAGGATTAACCATTAGCAGCCGTGTGAGAACATAGCCATTGAAATCTGGTTCATGTGGGAAACACAAGTGTCAAGGATAAAATATCCATAGAATTCTACGGTACGGTACTACGGTAAATACACTATTAGCTTAAATTTCTCCCTCCCCCAATTAATTGCCATTTTCTAATAACAAGCCCTGCTATATAAATGTATGTTTGTGAATATTACTATGTATAGTGTAACTAAATCTTTGTAGTAGTTGTTCAGTTGTAATTGTTGATGGCTGATTAGATTAATAATTGATATGATTTATATAGCCCCTTCCTACAAAATAAACAAGACGCTGAATCTCAACAAATGCAGCAAATGGGAAATGAATTTAAATAATTCCAGTGTCAAAGCCAGAAGCTCTTTGACAGCTGCTGGCGTGCTGATTGTCATTGAAAATTATCTGTTGCTCGTGCCTTGTTAACTTGCATTCTCCAAGGAATTGTGTCTGGTATGGTAGGTGCAGTGTGTGCTCCTAAAAATAGTGCAATAAACAATACAGTAAATGATTGAATAAGCGTTGCACCAAACCTGATTTTTTTCAGCTAAGCACTGCAGCACTTAATCGAGAGTACAGTCACATTACCCTGTACAGTATGTAATGAAACACTTTTTTTATATATATATTTTTTTGTTTTGCAGTTTTGTATATATTATTTAGATATTTTATATTTTCATAGCAATCCTTTTCACGAGACAAATTATAAATAAGATGCTTTACATAAACTAGAGCCGTGTTTTCAATCAATCAATCAATCAATCAATCAATCAATCAATCTATTTGTTTGGTGCCGTTTCAACAGTCATTGCTCAAGGTACAATTCCAAAAAAGAGATTATTAAAAAAAAACAAAAGATGC